ATGTTACAGGTCCCTATAGGCGTTCTATAAGTATTTGGAAGGACCTGCCCACAGGCGTTCTTTCGCTTCCTCTCCCCAAGCTTTTTAAATTTTTCACGCTCTGTTTTTTGTGCTGCGTCCCAACTGACTGAACACCTGGAAGTAGGCTAAATTAACTGATGAACTAAACTGAAACTCAATGCAATCTTATGCAACAAATCACATGATGATGGACAAGTTAAATTTTAAATCAAGTGTAACGCACGTAGGGGAGATGTCATGCACGTTTGAATCCTACATACTGGCCCCTAAATGCATTTAAACATAGTTGAGTAATTCAAACTGAAAAACTTGAGTATTATATTGTCACTAAATTGATTTGAAATGGTTCATCACAATCAAGTCAATAAATATACAATTGTTCTCTCACATTGCAAGCAAACTTTTAGGTTCAGGACATAGACTGCGAGCAGTCTCCCTTTCGCTGGAAAATCAGTAGGGAAGAATGCAAAGAAGAATGCAACACAAGCAAGCGGTGGGTCGTGAGCGTGGGAACGTGATATGTGAAGCAGTGACCCACAAGTATGGCCCACAAGTATGCATTGTGGACCTATTTTTAGTTAAGCCTCCATTGTCACACAATCTTTAGTGATATTACTTTCTGTAGGGAAAAAAAATCATGTGTAATTGTTTGTGTGCATTACACAATTCATGGATTGTATTTTCCTTCATCAGATAGTAAAGAAATTGATCCTAATGATGTCAATTTTGAAAAGATCACTGGTTCTCTTACAAGGAAACAAGCAGAAGCTGTTAGGAAAAGGATAGACACTCTAAATCAAAGTACCAAGAAAAAACTTGGTTTACATGTGCCACCTTCAAAACATTCTGTCAGTAGCTACCCTACCGATGTCAGGACAATTTTTCCAGTCAAAACTAATGGGCAGCCTAGCAATGCAGCAGAGCAGATTCATACAACAAGACCAGCATTGAGGAAATCGTACAGTGAAGGAGTACATGTCATTAAACAACCATCTCTTGAGATTGGTGATATGGAAAATGAAGTGGGACATTCATGTAGACATTCTCATTCTGCTGGTGTACTGTCAAGTCCAGCTGATAAAGAGTTAACAGGAGTTTACTTGCACCCAGATTGTGCTTCGGAGAGACGAGCAAGTGATGAGATGCAATTGCGAACAGGTGAGTTTTCTTGAGTCTTTTGACATCATAAGAACTTGCAAGTACATGTGCTACATGTATATCATGAGTAAGTAATTTTAATATGTGTCTTCTTGCAATTAGGCATTGCGAAGTCATCCCTGTAACAAAATTCTCTTTTGTCAGGAACCAGAGCTGTAGCCAGAAAAAATTATGACTGAGACAACATCCAAGGAAAAATTATGACTGAGGCAATGTCCATTGTTAAAGTCTCTTCTTAGGTATTTAAGTCCTGGTCAAACAGACTTTCAAGTAGTCGCAAGTGGCTTCAAGTTGAACTTGCGTAGAGACTTGCATTGGGTGACTTCTGAATTAAATAATGGACTGTCTAATTTTAAGTTTGCAAGTTGGACACCCACATGATTGCACACCGATTACCTGACTTGTGGAGGTTTGGGAGAACTTGAAAAAGCTGTGGAAACAGCCTGGTGGCTCATGTTCCCACAGCATTTCTTGTTCTCCCAAACTTCCACTTGTGTTTCTATAACTCGATAGAAACACAGTACATGTTTTCTATTTCTTAAATTAATGGTAAATACTCATAGCATCTCTCTACATTACGTAGTTTACATAACTTTATTTTGACTCGAATTTGTTGGGTAGCTAGAAAGCTAATATCTTCAAGGAAAATAAACATTGCAAATATAAAAACAAAAGGTACTACTACTAACAGTTATGTTTGAGTACATTATATAACTATGTACAGTCAGGTGGAACCCTGTTAATATGGCCACCAATGGGCCATGAAAATTTGGCCTTATTAACTGGGTGGCCGTATTAATTGTCTTAATTGAGTTACGTCTTAACAGATATGCACTTCTAAACAACTTTTCTTTAATAAGGAACAGAATGTATACATAATTACATGGGATGATGGTCTTCTTGTTCTTGTTCTTGTTTTTGTTCTTGTTCTTGTTCTTGTTCTTGTTCTTCTTGTTCTTCTTGTTCTTGTTCTTGTTCTTGTTCTTGTTCTTGTTCTTGTTCTTCTTCGTCTTAATCATCATCTTCATCATCTTCTTCTTCTTGCGCTGCTGCTGTTGCTTTTGCTTTTNACTGCAATTTAAAAAGTCTCAACTTATTGCCACCGGATAGCAGCCCAGACTGTTTTCATGAGGTGCCTGTAGACTGTCCTGAAGAACTTCCAGTTGACGTTCCCTCAGACAAAATTCAAGGAAAAGTGGTATGACGTGTAAGAAAGAGACAGCTTAATTTAACAAGCTTGACCTGAAATTATTTACCCTGGCAGAATTGTTAAATATGTCTAGTAATTAAAATTCACCACCTAGTATTTGGTATGACTACAAGCTGGGGTAATTTGCTAACATAATGACTTGACAAGCACGTCATTAATACAAATAAACATTGTAAAATAGCAAGAAAATATAGAAATTCTTGGTCTGCTTCAAGTAGCCTAGCAGTTTGTGGCTGTTAATAAATGGTGTCCCTTTCATGGCGTTTTCAAAATTTCTGTGAATAAGATTTACTATATGGAGTGAACAACTGGTAGATTTATACTAAAACAATCAAATCGTTTTCTATGTGCGATAGTTGGGTGGTGGCCTTGTCAACTGTCATACAATAGAAATCTTAAGCTCGTAATAGATCTATTATTGTCAAATGTACCTGTAGCATAAGAGAGTACGATTGCAGACTTATTTTTATTCATTTCCCACAGAATGGAAAAATAACGAGTGACGAGAAGCCTTTCAGGGAACCTCAGTTTCCTAGATTACCAGTAAGTTATTTGGCAACTTTGTCAAGTTGGCAGTTAAAGTTATTACGTGTAAGAATGTCTGCACACTAGACACGCACTGTAGCAGCTGTTAATTATCTTGCGTGAAAGTGAGATATGAGGGAAACCAAGGGAGATAAAATCACTGCTTGAGAATGGCCTCTCTATCTTTGTTGTGTTATGAAAAGGAACAGGTATTCATTTGTTGCACTTATTTTCCATTTCGGGTGGTGCATGAAACAAAATAGGTTGGAAGGCCAAAATTAAAAGAGGGGTTGGTGAAAATGGCATCGGTACAAATGTTATGAGCTGTAGGCGTCGTGTGGGCCTGTCTATGATTGTCATCAGATGACGTTTCCGGCAACCTGAAGGGCCACATGAATTAAATTATGCATTTCGTTACAGACATGCTTTGCTGCTCAGGCATCCAGCCATCTCTTCTTGGGATGGAATGTAGACTGGACTCAAGTAACTGGCAGAAATCAGGCCTAATCATTGGCCTGTTTCAATGACAATAAAGAAACAGGAAAGCTTGGCTTAACTTTCAAGTGAATCTTTTAATATTTCCATCTCAAACAAATTGAATTCATGGAGTGTTTTGAAACAAAGAACCAAAAATGGAGATCTAAAACTGAAGACCCTTATCAAAGACCATTGGACTGAAATGGAGTCCCACTGAACTAAAACCAAGACCATTCATAAAGTGTCTTGTTTAGGTTTTTGGTACAGGAATGAGCAATATTTCCTCAAAGCTTGCCAATAATGTCATGTGAATTTGAACCCAGACTGGTATGATATGCAGTGTCTCTTGTTTTAGTGGTGACTGAAAAGGATGAGGGAATGGAGGCTTTAAAGAGATGAGGGCTAAATAAATTTCTTGCTTCAAAAAGGAGTCTATTAGAGTGTGGGGTGGGGGACATGCTTCCTCTTGCTATTTTCGTACTGTGTGTGCTGCCTATCAAAATGTTTTGTAGTAATAGGAATAGATGAAGGAACTTAAGTACTTGGCTACAGGGCAAGAGGCCCTTGCCCTTTATGGGCGTTCTGGGACAAGCTTCCTGAAAATGATAAAATACTGTAGTGGCTTCATATTCTTGGATCTGGTGTACTTTAAAAGAAAATCAGCCCCTGAGTATAGCAAACTACGAGACAGCACTCCTGAGGAACTTCCTTTTTCCGACCGCATGTATTTTCCAGTGGTAGTTATCTACAACCAGTGCTGTTTTTTGTTCCAAATGAGGAGACTTTGTACTACTTATTTTCTTTAGGAAAGAACTGGCCACTACTTTCCATACAACTATGATAAACCACTTTGTGCCTATATGCAAGTGAAAGGAAAATGGCAGTCTGTTTGCTTGAGTTATACTATAAAGAAAGCATTGTAAGCCACCAAAAGTGAATTTGTGAATTCTAAAATTCAGTTGAGAGAACCATAAAAAGAGACTCGCTTGAATATGACAGGCCGGGTCCTTTAGATGAACATTTTAATTGGTCTTTCTGTTAGATTTTCTGAGATTATCTTTACAGTTATGTAGCTTTTTTAAGTATGCAAGATTTTTAATTTAAACACCAGCTTCATCAGAGAAGCGTTCAATCCTGGCCAAACGTCCTTTGAATGCTTGACAAAATACCAACTGATGACCCATTATTTTGAAGTGGGAAGTCATTATTCAATTTTCTGAGTCCCCCTCCAAAGCAATGTTGTGGCTTTTCAATGTACAAAGAGCACAAAACTTAACACTTTCCATTTTAAATTTCTCCATAGAAGAATATCAACAAACAACATCTTGAAAAAAATTGGTCTCATCGATAGCGAGAAATGCACTTTCTGTGAAAGAGAAACAGAGAAACTGACACATTTATTTAGGCTGGCCCAAAAACTCAAATTTTTTGGACCAATGTTTAAGTATGGCTACAGTCTTGCCAAGTCATTGCCAAAGATGGCTCTAAATATAAACCCCAAATTAACTGCGGCTGCTTAAACGCGAAATATTATATTTGGCTATGTAGACAGAAAAAGTGTTCTCCAAAACTCATTGATTTCTTACTGTACTTAAAACATATCTATGAAATGGCAAAAAAAAAAAAAAATACAACTACAATCGCTTTCAAAAAGTAGGAGCCTCTTTTGTCTCTTGTAATCTCTTGACAGCTTGACCCTAGTCCCCTGAAAACGAAAATAAAAATGAAGGGAAAGGAAACGAGGCGCATATATACCATGTATTTTTTCTTTAATCGGAATTCAACCATTCATTCTGTTTGGACTTTTTTTGTATTTTGGCAACTTTATTGAATGACTAGTGTCACACACTACTAACACATTTTGGGCTCTACACAGAACTTTACACTTACAAAAGATGAACTAGGTGTCACAAGAGTACAAGATATCTCCTCACAAGACATGGAAAAAGTACGTTCTCTATCACTCATAGAACTCACAGCCTTGTTTGACTCTCACGGATTAGCACTACACAGACGGAAGCCTGTTAAAAGAAGAGTCAGAGGTAAGATGCACCAACTTGGTTTAATATTAACAACTGTCTTGTGTGCTGCTAAAGTTGTGCAAGCTACTGGTGATTCTCATGAATTTTGGGCTGAAACATTCTATTTGTCAACTTTTACATCAGGCAAATCCTTTTGAAGTTTCTCGACTTGTGTTTAATACTCACAGGTTAAGCAGCTTTAATGTATCATTAGAAATGGTGACTCGGTTTGCTAATACCCAGGTGTAACTCAAGATACAGCTCAATTAATAAACCTTTTATTTTATTAACCCTCCTATCTATTTCATTTTTAACTCTCTTTGTCTTAGAATCTGGTATTTTTGGAGTACCTCTGCAGAACCTAATTCAAGAGGACAAAATGAAAAATGAAAGAACATCAGTACCTTCTTTTTATGTTGAAGTACGTTTGTATTTCTCTTAAGGTATCAGTCTACCTCAGTTTGTCTCAGAAATGCGAATTTTCTTTCTTTTAATCACTAGCTAGCTGGGTCTTTCCTTTTCTAAAGCTTCAGAATGATAAGCTCTTTTGGTTTTAGCTTTACCGTGATATAATTAACGTGCCCAGGATTGATTTTGTTGGTCACTGTATTTTTTATGGCGTGATATAAAATAGTTATATGTAAACAATACTTTCTTGTAGGATATTCCATGTTATACATTTAACACTTAATGACTAGTCCCTTGGGGAACAGTGAATTTTGTTTCCCCAGAATTTCAATCTTTCCCTCGACGATTTTGAAAAACGCGCTAAGATTCCAGCGACAACATCAGGCTACCTTCAACTGAACGCTCTGATCACGTGCAACAGCGGTCAACTTTTCGCGGGTAACAATGAACTGTTTCCCATTTGACGTCATAAATTTTACAATGTTGCCCGCTCATGGTATTTGGCAGTAAACAGTTTCATTGATAGATGTCATGTGGCCATGAACTAGCCAATGAATGGGCGCGCTGTAGAAACGCCAGGTATATAGCAAGGGAAAATTGTTGCATAGCTAGTATTTAGAAAATACAATCAATTAGACTTTAGGAAAGCCTTTGACGTGTACTTGAGGGTATTACACCCAATCTTGCCAACATGCCCTCCACAACAACTTTAACACCTAAATTTAAGCCTATCTTTATGATCTGCATTTTTTTTTCTATTTTGTATACCAGCTCATTAGCATGTACATACTACATGCAGTGATCTATTATCAATTTACATCTTCTGTAATATTTGCACAGAAGAAGGCAGATAAGTCTGCCATAACATGTTTGTGAAACTCAAAATTGTCATTTTATATCTGAAACTTACTCGTACCCGTACCCGTAGCCCTTGCGTGCTACGGGTCAATAGCCCACGAGGTGAAGCCAAATGGGTTATTGACCCGTGGCCCTCGAGGGCGAAGGGTCTAATTGTTTTAGTATCACCCAACTAGTCGGACAGAAAAGGCGATAATGAAGTTAGCAAATGCAAGTTGAAGAAATACTTATTTGGGAATAAAACGAAAGAAAGCGTCACGCTCGATTGCGCTAATTTCGCTACTCGAGAACTATTACTAACAGTCCTGTAGTAGCGTGGCCAATTAAAATGCAGGATTTGCATTAGTCCAGTAGTTGGGTGATACTAATGATACATACACAACGCGCCTTACTTGTGTTTATAAGATAACTGAAATACTAATTTGCACGCTTTCATTGGTCAAAAGCCTATCACTTATTGCACTGGTAAACCCAAGGTTTCCGAACACAGCACTATGTGAGAATTAAAAAATTTAGTCTGACTAGCAAAAACCTAATACACAGTTTGGACTTTCACTGCCTGAGATATCAGTAACACGAATATCTTTTCATTCAAAATATACATAGAGATTTGTAAGGAAAAACAGGATCAGAATTTGGTTGCGATAAAATGCTTGATCTTTTTTTCCATGACAAAAATTTTACATCAATTCCTATTACGAGTTTAGCAGAAAGTTTTTAGCGCTTTCAGTTCTTTCCGCGATGTATGGAGGATGCAGTTCTGACTACAGCTTGGCTAGACTGATCAATTTGGGTTGTTAAAAAAAACAGGGGAAAGATTTTTTTTCAAGTTAACATTAAGCTTATTGGTAGCTTTGGCAGTGCATTTATTCTTTTAGTCACTGTTATTTGTTTGCCATGCACGTCATCTCATGAATTTGTTCAGAACAAGCAGCTTGATCACGAAAGTACAGTCATTTTCCATTCCTTGACAAACATACGTTTTCCATACTTATTTTATAAAAGTAATAGACCACCCTTTCTTTGGGTTCACCAGTACAAGAAACCCACAACACTCAAAAAAACTTGTAAATCACTTGCCTAATGGCTCGTGGTTTACAAGCTTAAATTCTTGTGTTCTCCTAGCATCCCGCGTGGGTTTATGCCGCCTGTAAACCCATAGAAAGAGTGATTGATTGTACTGATATGTTTCTCGTGTGTATTTACAACCATCTCCCTGTATGGCAGTGTACTTCTGTGTTATTTGATTGTATGTTGCTCGTGGTACTCGTGTGGTGTTTACTTGGGGATGCTGTGGTGGGAACAGCACTTTCAGGTGGTACTGTAGCAGCCTCCTGACTTCCTTTAATGTTATTATATCATAAGAACTGACTTGTGTGGTTCTACCGTTCATGTATAAACAGCCATGTGAAAGCAAAACATTTTTCATTTACTTGACAAATGAAAACGTGGAATTACAGACTTTTATTTAAAGTTAGTATTGATTGATTTCTTTCAGCTTGTCCGATATTTGGAGTTTAAAGGTATGTTAGTTTATATATGTAGACTGAAACTACTTTGCCCTTCCTTTCCTTTTTCTTTAGCTGTACAAATCTTTGCATGTACACTGTAGCTAAAACCGTCCTTAAGAGACAACTAAATTTAAACTGTAACTTAAAAACTTACTCTTGGCAAAAAAGCTATAGAGAACTTTAAAAACATTTTATATATTCAAAAGGTCTAGATAGCAGCAGACATGTAAAGATTTTAAGGAAAACGACCAATTTTTTAAGTTTGAAAGATTTGTTTCGACAGAACTTCTGTCATCTTNTTTCACTTTTAACTACCTCCATGGATATCTTGTAGAAAATCCCATATAAACCCTTATAATTCGATGCCGTGTTGTGTTGCTTGTGTGGTTCATAGAGAGAGCTTGGGCTGCCTGTGATTAAACTTGTGACTTAAGTACCGAAACTGGAGCCATCACGCAACATGTTAACAATAAAGCAAGGAAATCAAAATACAGCCGAACCTCTATTAGGTGCCCCCCCTATTAAACGGCCAACTTTTAATTGGCTGCCAGCAGCCAAAATCCCGGAAGAAATTGTCAGCTATACACTGTAATAAAAACCTCTATTCAACGGCCACCTCTATTAAGCAGCCGCGGTCAACTTCTTGCCGTCCCAAGGTTGATTTTGTTTTGTTTTATACCTCTAAGAAGCGGCCAGTTGTCTGGTCCCCCAGAGTGGCTGCTTTTTAGAGGTTTGACTGTAATCTGCAGAAAAATAGCGGACTTTGTCATTATGTTACATCTGTCTACAAAACTTTCGCTGTTCACAAAGATAATGATTTCAACAACAGACAGCTATTTAAGTTAATAACAGGCGTAGAAAACGAACGCACTCATAATCTTTGATTACTACTAGTTTCTAAGAAGCTAAATCCATGGTAGACCTACACTTAAATATGAGGTTGAGATCTTCGCTGTGTCACCACTGCTCAATATGCCAACAAATTTCAAATTCTGACATTATCACCGGGTCCCAGTTCCCGCTGGCAGCGTCGCGCGTGTACATACGCAAGTATCATATTCTATCGGGGAATTTTACTGGTCAACAACAAAACAAAAGTTTTGACCTCACTGAAATCAATCTCTTGCTTGGCTTTGCGTGAAACGAGAGCCGAAAAAACGGATGCTCTCTGTCCATGCAATACCCAGTTTACTATGAAATTTTTGCAGGAAAACATCTGTTTTTCACTGCAGTGATCCAATCTTCTCATTTCATTGGGATGATTTCTGGTCTGTATCCAGTGTTGAATACCTGGTGCATATTTTGAGATGAGATTTTGATGATGCCGTTATGCTGCTTGTGCAATAGTATATGTGCATTTAATATATCGGCTTTGACATTTTACTAGGTCATACATATGACAAATGCTTGAATGTGGTTTTCTTTACCTGCTTTTTTCAGGTTTGAAGGAGGAGGGTATCTTGAGAGTTCCTGGAAATGCTGGAAGGGTTAAGGTAGAAAATCCATTATTGCTGTTTTTGGTTATAGAGAAGGTCCAAATTAACTGAATTGTTCTTACAGTGAAACCTCTATTAATCCGACACCCTCGGGACCCAAGTGTTAAAATTTTATAACAATTGCGTAATGTTTGTTAACAATTTGTTTGTCGTAATGCCCTTTCAATACTGCAACGATAATGTGGCTAATCGACTATTTCAAGGATGTAATCCAATGCCACATTGTCAAGTCAGTCCGGTGTCCGCTTAATAGAGGTTATTAACAATAGAAATTAGCTAAATACAATTTATTTTAGTGTCCGCGTAGAGGTGTCCGCTGAATAGGGGTTCGTTATAAAGGAAAATGTAAGACGTTGATTTTGGGACCAGGCTAAGTGTCCGCTTAATGGAGGGTGTCCGCTTAATTGGGGGTCTGCGTAATAGAGGTTTCACGGTAATTACCCTTCCAGAGCTTTTTCCTTGTTACCTTGTCAGTCGTACCAAGAAATGGTCTATTGTACAAGATATCTTTCTGTGATTTAACATCAAGCACGTCTTGCTTTGAAAGCTCCTTGTAAAAAAATTATTTCTAACTACATTTTGAGCTTAAAAGATATACTGACAAAATTGTTTCTCCCTTCCTTTGCAGAGCATGAGCCTTTAGGTTTCCTGTTTCTTTTCATTTGAACATGTTTTTTGATTAGTTATTCCATTCTCCCAGGCTATAAGAGAAGAAGTAGAAGAGAAATTTAATGACGGATGTTTTGTGTGGGATGTCAGAAGAGCGCATGACTGTGCAACCCTGCTTAAACAATTTTTACGGTAAACAAAAATACGTTCATTTTATCCATTTCCACTTGCATAGTTAGAATTAGGTAGTTAAAGCAAAATAGTCATTATTATGGCAGGCTTCACCACTGCCGCTGGAGGTCAATGAATTTTTCAGTTATTACACGTTAGTCAGTTATGTCCAGCTTTAGCATGAAATCTCATTGCATACGTGGGGAGGTTTTGCTGTATTAGCCTGGTGAAGTGAAATAGGCTGTTTCTAAGTTGTCCCTTCCCTCTGTGTGAAAACTGGCCTCCGTGTAAAACCGTTCAAATGAAATGCACTTCATTTGCATGCAAACAAAACTCGTTTTCATAAGAAAAGTTTCGAGGCAGAGAGAAGTTTTGAGGTGAAAGGGAACGTGGAAATTTCCCAGTCATGTTAGGCACAAAAGTGGTCTTCAGTCAAAGGTTTTCAGTAAAAGTTTCCTGTGAGAGTTCAGTGAAGGTGCTTTATACTTGTATGTGAGATGCGACTATGATGACGCATTCTGTTTATTTTGTTCATTGCCTAAAACTGGTACTAAGGGAGCATGCTCTTTTACCACTAGTAACGTCTAGACCTTTCATGCCAAAAGTTGGTTTTGATATCTGCTGACAGAGTGATAAAAAGTCTTACAAAGGATGCCTTTTAAAGTCTTAAAAAGCAACGTGGAGTGAATTGGGCCTCTTGAAATTGAAGAGAAACTTGACTCCTCTGCTGTGGACAAATTTAGTTATAAATGTCTACTTCCTTTGACATTTAAACGGGCACAAAGGCGACAGCCAGGCCAAGAACAAATTGGAAGTAGAAAAAGAAAACGAGAAAAAGGCAAAAACAAAGTGTAACAAACAGATGGGAGTAACACAATTCAGTTCTGTTACAAGTGACAAACTAAGTAAAAGAGGCTTTAGATCTATCATCCGAGCATGCTCTCTTGTTAGGCTAATTATGTTCTTTTGTTTTGAAATTCATTAACAGAGAACTTCCTTTTCCTCTTTTAACACAAGAATATCAACCAACATTTGCATCTGTAGAAAGTGAGTGGTTAAGTAATCTTTGTCTAGTTGCCATGCTGCCACAATGGGGACCTTAAACAAAGATAAGAGCAATGCCAAGGAGGATACCTTGTAATATATGTATTCATATAATTTAACCTTCAAATTTTGCAGTTACTATCTAGATCTACTACGGCAGTACGCCTGTCAGTTTTAAATCATGCTGAAACTAAATATGTAATGCTAGCTATCAATTCCAAAAGGAAAATAAGACAAATCTTATCAGCTGTCATAGCTCACATTCCCCAATAAAGCAGAACTTAGTCATCTGACAGCAACAACAATCCTTCTGTGTACTTCCTCTTGCCCTTGCAATAATATTAGATTATTAGTTAAATATGAATAAGATTAGAGTACTGGCTTCTTGGAATAACCATAGTGGCTAGCAGAACTGGGCATCAAGTTGATGCTAGCATTAAATTACAATTAACATTGTTGTTTTTAGAAAACGGCTACAAAATGTACAAAGATTTACAGTACAGCTGCATAGCCATTTTGCTCGTTAAACCTTTGTTTGGTGACGTTCTCAGGTGCCGTTGCCAGTTGCCATCGTGGTTTGCTTACACTATCAAACAGGGAACTTAAGCAAACAACAATGTCGCAACATCAAGAATGTCACTAAAGGATACTAGGCACGTGCGCTCTAAATCTTTGTATATATGGAGCAAAAATCATAAATTTTGATGGTAGTTTTGATATACAGTTGCCCTCTGGTAACTCGAACCAAAACTGACTTCTCCAGGATTGTTGCTCCTTAACTCGAACCCCTGATAACATGAATCTCTCTCATGTTTGTTGTAAATTTATAAGATGATTCAAACCCCATTTGTATAAGTCTAATGAGTGGAAGGTCTCTAGAATCATTGGAGGGAGATTAAGATTGGTTTCAAGGCATGAGGACTTTTGGCAGACTGTGAAGTTAACTACAGTGGAACTCTCCACAACGGCTACCTCGGGGACAGAGGAAATTGGCCATTGTAGAGACGTGGCCATTGCGGGGGAGATATGGGTGTAATATATATATGTTATTTACCGGCTTAGGGTCGGTCCGTATAATGAAAAACTGTGACCGAGGTCCCGCAGGCCTCGGGCAGCATTTTCAAGCCCGAGGTTAATTTTTTTTTTCCTGCGGTAAAATTGGTTTTACAGATTACAAATGGGTTTGTTTACGCAACTCTGTCATTGAATCGGCTTCCGCGCCGTCTACTAACGATTTGTGTAAAAGTCTCAGTTCGCAATGAGCGAGCATCTCAGATAGTAGACAAAGACAGATGTATTAAAGAACAGATTTTTTTTTAACTACTTTGTTAGTTGCATTTGTTTCACCAGTTAAGTTCTCCAAAATTGTGTTTGCGTGTGAAATTTCGTGCGAAGTTTGAAGTTTTACTACAACAACAATTTCTGTCAGTCGTTGCTTTTAAAATCACTTGAAATCAGACTTTTCTACAGTAAATTGAATAGCAGAAAGCGAGGAAATTCGTTAAGTGTATTCCACAGAAATTCTCCTAAATACAGCAACGATCAGAGAGGCAAACTCGACTGAANATGATTAGCCAATCAAATTCGGGACAGGACAGACACAAAACAGAAACTGAAACCAACGATGCACTGTAGGGATGCTGTTTTGCTTTGTTTTATCCCGTCAGATCTGTTATGATTTGCTATGCTGGCAGAGCATCATGGGCTGTCTTACTCCTCTGTAATAAACCTGATTGAAACGCACTTCATTTTATTTCCTAGTTTCTGGTCATTTGTTTCCATCTCATGATAATTCAAACTTCAGATACCTCGTACGTCGCTTGATTTTCCTCTAAGGTTCGGGTCATCAGGAACTGCACATGTATACAGTAACCTTAATAGCTGTTATTGCAGTTGAGTCTGCGGTCTAATATTCTTTTGTTTTAATTGCCATGCAAACGAGGCGAAAGGGTCAATACAATGTAGAATTGACCCTTTCGCCTCGTTTGTGTGTCAAGCCGCTGATAACTGCAAGAACAGCCATCAGCATGGATTTCAATGCCTTTTTAGTTCTTTATCTTGTGAAACTGAAGACACAAATAATATTCATCTTTTTAATGTGTATTGTTATTTGTTATGTCACATGTATTTTATGTTACTTCTTCCATCTAGGTATACCTGATAGAAAACAGCAGCTTCAAGCATTGAATCTTTTAATTCTACTGTTGCCGGCAGTTCATAGAGATTGTTTGAAGGTAGAATAAAGTGTACACGTACTGCTGCTTGTGCTGCAGATGGATGTATTCCTAATTAGATAATGTTTTAACATCATCGACAGATAATATGATTGAGCCTGAAAATATAAGTTTTTGAACATAAAGAATTTGTTATGATGACATCGTATTTACATATGCATTTTTTAGAATTACATGTACTAGGTTTATGGTCAACAAAGGGAGATGGTTTAGGCATAGTAAGCTGATACACCCTGTAACCTTTTTTCAGATTCTTGTTCAATTTTTGAGCCAAGTGGTAGCCCATGAAAAACAAAACAAGATGGGCTTGAACAGTGTGGCTATGATTATGGCTCCAAATCTTTTCCTTTGCACATCCAAGTCACAGCCATCGTTACAAGAAATCAAGCAAGCTCAAGGCACAGTGAACATTGTAAGAATGTTAATCAAGTATCAAGCTATTCTGTGGACGGTAAGTTACACTTTTTAGGTGTCCTTGGTGTGGAAAAGACATGGTTTTGATAATGTGATTTGCTGTTAACTACTGTTACGTCACAGCCTGCAGAGTAAAACCTCTTGCCAGTATCAGAATGAACTGGCTGTGATATTAAGATACTACAGTTTACAACAACTGACAGTTATCGACAGCCAGTAAGAACAAATTTTAAATTTAGGACGCTTTAAGAAGCGGTGTACAGTTATGGTCGATTGACCATATGGAATGTTATATTCGGATTTTGGTTCAAACTTCTGCTTGTGCCTGTTTGTATAGATCCCTGGGTTCATGGTTATGCAGGTTCGGTATCTGTATGAAGCAGAAGGAAACAAGAAAGCTAAAGACGCTAAAGCGGTGAGTTTCTTTACAGTTTTGATAATATCCCCTTCCCTTCCCTTCAACAACCATACTCGAAAATAAACCTCCTAAAGTGTCCCTCCTTCATAAGATCCTTCTGCCAATAAGCCACCACCTTAGCTTTGGTCTTAAAAAGAGATATAACTTCTATTGGAGATTCAATTGTTTTGAATTTTATGTTGTAACAATAAATTATACCCACAGACCTGCGATGAGTTATTTTGGAATTCATATTGTTTTATTTAAACAGATTTACCAGGTGGTGATCTTGTTTGCACTCAATAACTTTTGAACGGTTATATTAAGATAAGTAAAGCAATATTGATTATTTATGATCCTTGGTAATTGGGTTTTTATTTTACGTGTATTCCTGTAGGTCAGGAAGTTACTTGCGAAACGTGCTCGAGGTGATGGAGTGGGTGGTTCTCCACAGAAAAAGCATTCTCTAGGAGAAGCTCCTTTAGTGTCCATGGATGTANGATTATGAAAACAACATCATACGAGTGAAAGCCCCGATGCTGAACAAGGTTCTTATGGCAATTCAGCTCACTGAGTTCATGTGCGCTGGCGACATTGTTTCCAAGTTCAGACGCCGATCATCTCCGTCTGAAAGCCCCTGCAGTGAAAGTTCTAAACTGCCTGAATCTTCATCAAGTGGTTCTTATCGCAACTGTCTCAACCCTCACAACAACAACAAGTTTGCCTCAGATAATTTCTTTCTCTACGAGGCAGGCGGCAACATAGGTGAGTAGAGAAACTTTCCATGCCGACTCATTCCTGAACCAACATTGCATTGCCTCCCTTGCCTCCCTCCCCCCCCCCCCTCCCCCCAGTTTACATCTCAAAAAGGTGGGTGTCTTTTCAACATTTTCGAGAGACAGTTCCGTGGTTTAATATTCGGTGTAGATTAGTAGATAAAGTTCACGATATTTTGTTCCATATGAAATATTGGGCGATATTGTTTCAGTTTCTGCGATATTCCGCTCCAAAGCGAGTGAAATATTCCTCTCGCTCGGCGAAGTATCGTTCATCGTGGCGAAATATTGCCGGTAAACGATGGTGACCCTTTTTTTAGTGCAAAATGCACTATTGTGTGGTTTAACGCGATGCCGTCCGCTAACTTACAAAGTCACTAACGTGTAAACCCCAGTTTAGATTTTTTTAGTCAGAACGTATCTCAGGTCTTATATTATTTGGTTTTTGTTAATTAGTACATTTCAAATAGTAGTTATGAGGGCCGCGTTAGCTTTTTTGGTGTTTACCCTCTCCAAATAATTATTGCCACCAGAAAAGCCAACGCTAAGTTAGGGTGGCCCTCATTAACTACTATTTGACATATACTAATTAACAAAAACAACCAAATAACATAAGAACTAAGAAATGTTCTGACTAAAAAAAATGAAACTCGTCTAGGCTATAGCTCCTGGCGTCTCCAGGCAATGAGTTCCAGTGATGTACTCCTTTGTACCGAAACAATGTTTGTCCTGTCTTGGAGCATAGCTTGGGAAAGTATGACAAAAGTATTAAGGAATTTAACTCAAGACCAAAACAAGAAAGAAAACTTGTGGTTGCAGAAAGTTTCGCAGATGCAACAAGTGTTTGTTCATCCATTTTTTAAAATCCTTTTGTTTTTATTTCACATTACTGACGAAGCGATTGTGTCCTTATAACACTTGCGACTTAACAACATAACCATAACTCCATGAGAAGGACATTTTGTCGTGATGTTTGCAGTGTGAACATGCTGACATAACGACATAAGAGTAACATAACACTACAGCCTGAACATAAAGAAAAAACTGATCTGTTCATTACGTTGTTATGTCTATGTCGTTATGATGTTATGTTTGAACAACATCGATATAACATGACAAAAAAAAAGAAAACAATTAGAGTGGCCTAACATTTGAACCCTGTCTACCACCAGCACTATTTTCTAAATGGCGACCACTATCAAATGACATCAGAAGGGTTAATCCTGTTTACCTGAAATAACATTCACAATCACCCAAACTAATAGCTCTGACGAGACTGTGACACTGGTCATGTGCTCTCCTAGCTTCTTATTGAAAGATCAGACGTACCCACTCTTTTCTTCCAGTATTTTTTCCCTTTCTTTTCTTCGCAAATGTAATCGGTGCTTTTTCCACCACTTTTGAAGTCTTTGTCAGTTTTAAAGTCCTTGTGTCTTTATGTCGATGTTCACATCATTGACATATGTGATTATGTTGTTATGTCGCTAGTGTGAACAAGGCCTTACTTGGTGCGTATAAATAAGAGCCCTGCATGTCAATTAAGTCCAGTCCGCGTAAGAATCCTTCACTTCGTAACCTCACGTGTTGTGCACAATGCCGGATGAACAGCTTCTCGTCCATGCTACTTAAACAGCTCCTGACTCCTTCAATTGAACCAAGCGTGTGCAGAAAGTCCAGTGACCCATATTCGGCACCCTTACTGAAATGACTGAACTGTTTTTGTGGTTTGTTGCTTTAAGTCGTTTACGAGCTTATTTCTGCGCACGTCTCCTTTTTTTTTTCTTGTCTGGTTTTTATACATGGTTTTCTCTTTCCCCACTATCTTTTAGTATTTGACGCTTTTTCTGTGAAGTTGGAGAACTGTATCATATAATGCGTGTTCCGCTTCACAAAAGTTGGGATTGTGTAGTGCTCTCCCCCAGCTCTCTTCAAGTTTGCATGCTAGTGTTCTTTACTATTTACTATTTACTATTTTTACTATTCAGCAATGTTTATGACTGATATGCGTGCTTTGCCTCGCAAATGTTGGGTTTGTGCAGTGCTGATCCCTCGGCTCCCTTCAAGTTCTTGGTTTGTAATATTCGATGATATTTATGTTAAGTGTACGTTGCTTTGCAAACATCGTTATTGGCTCCCTTTAAGTTTCCACGCTTGTATTGTACTTTATACTATTCAGTTATGTTCTTGTTACATGCGTAACAATGCGTTGTTTCACAAACGTCGGGTTTGTGCAGTTCTATTCCGTCGGCTCATTTAGTTGCAGGCTCATTCTTGTTTTGTAATATTCAGCAACGTTTTTTGCTTTGCATGCTTTGCCTTACAAACACCGGGTTTGTCCAGTGCTATTCCTTTGGTTCCCTTTAGTTCTCACGCTTGCTCTTGGTTTTAATTTCAGCAACGTTTTTATTTTTTTGTGCGTGCTTTGCTTCAGAAACCTCGGGTTTGTGCAGCTGCTATTCACTTGCTCCCTTCAATTTGCATGCTTGTATCCTTCTTGTTTTCGTTGTGCGTGCTTTGCCTCAGTAATCGCGACAATCCCTTTCACACTCGCTGAATAAGCATTCAGCGAGTGTGAAAGGGATTGAAACAGGATGGAGCAATGCTCCGCGTCCAGAAGTTGAACGTTTAGTATGGGCTTAAGACGAGAAACATTGCCAATACTCAAAAGCAAAGCCCCAAACTTAAAACTAAAAAAATCCTAGTTACCGAAAATGTAAGATGGAGGGCTTAAGGAAACAGCGACTGTGAAATGGGTTAGGCTGTGAAAACAGAATATGACGCCATTGGGGTTTTGGCAAAAGTAGCATGCCTATCAGACAGGGCTAGAGTGAAGGTTACCTCGGCTCTAAAACTGTGCAAAGTTTTATCCTTCTTAAATCTTCGCCGAGGTAATTGACAAAGGAGGGCGTGAATGAAATATCCAAAAGCTGCCAACCCTTGAGTGTGAAAACGGGGTAAACTACCGGGGATAAAGGCATATGCTAAAGGAGAAAAAAAGGACGCGGAAGATACGCGAGGAAACCCACTCAAGGGATGGCAGCCTGAGCGTCAGTGATCTGGCTAGGGCATTAGACAGGTTTTCAGCCTACCATGGGAGGAGTGAAAACGATGCAACAGCACGTGCATATTAACATAACTCCAAGTTGATTGTACACGTTACAGGGACATAGGTGTGGGAACTAATAGCAAACCAAAGGGAATACATTGCTAAATAGTACAAACCAAGAAAACAAGCGGTCAAAAATACGGGAGCCACAGGTAAATACTGCACAAACCCGGCGCAAGTATGGTATTCGCGACAGTTTCACGCTCGCGGAATAAGAGATCGAGAAATGCGACCGCGCTGGAGTGAGCTGGAAGTTTAGAAGGAAAGGAAAGGAAAGGAAAGGAAAAGAAGGGGGGAAGGGAAAATGGGAAGGCCGGCAGCTTTTGGAGGCAAGCTAGAAAGAGAGATATGTTGCGGCTGCCAACAGCCAAAGGATCCTTAGGCGAACTGAACTTGAATGAGATGCGGAGCTCTTATTTGTACTTGCTTAGTAAAGGACTGACGCGAATAGTACGCAATAGATTAGGAGCAAGATACAATTCACGAAGGTTGAGGCTTGTCCTTGCGGTAGAACTAAACGTCTAAAACGCATGCGTTTCAACATCTTTAGCGCCATACACTCCGTTCTCGTCCCCAGAGCCGTGCGGTTTTCTATGTTGTGAGATACTACTCTAATTCTGACCGAGGACAGCAGTTTTAATTCGGGTAGCATCTCTTCTTCCTTTTTAGAGCAAAGAACGCTATTGTTACTGTGTATTTTGGAATTACCCAAAGCTCGGCTCAAGAAATGTGGTCTGCTGTTTTCAAACTACACCAGTGTGTTTGCAAGGGTTCAAATTAAGAGTGGAAATGTATTCTTACCGGCTTCTTTATTTCTTCTTTTAATATACATTTTTAAAAAAAAAAATTATTTTAAAATCTCGAAACACATGCGAGAATTAGTCGAATTCTATTGGAGCGATGATCGATTAAACTTGTTCAATAGTTCATATTTAGGTACTATAAAGCCTTTTCGGTCGGCAAGCACACAAACGACACGACGTGTTTGGCAGGAAATATTACTTGATAACAAGCCGGTGGGTGAACAAGATAGGAACGTTTATTGAGCTAAGTCGTGTACCCCTAACATCTTAGCAGTGGGATGTTTGAAATCGAACAAAATGCATTTTAGTGGGCCTCATTTGTGTGAATTCCACCTCTTGACACTATCACTGCTCTTGACATGTTAACACGCTCAGAATCAGTGGGGATATCTGGCAATGGATAAAGTATAACCTCGCAAATCGATCCTGGTTTTAGAGATCGATCACAAAATGAGTTAAGTCCAAGACTGAATTCTGCCGCAAAAATTTGCTAGCAAATTGCGATAGCTTATAGGCTTTTACACAAGTTGCTCGGATATCTCTCAAAAGTTGCCCCAAAAANATAGCTTAAGCTATATACCATATACTGTCGACTCCCGGTAACTCGAACCTTCAGGGGAAATAGAGAAAGGTTCGAGTTATCGGAAGTTCGAGTTATCGGAAGTTCGAGTTATCGAGGGTAAAATTATATAGAAAATGGCCTGAACGGAAATGAAAATTACCTCAAGTTAGCGGGAGGTTCGAGTTAGCGAGGGTTCGAGTTATCGGGAGTCAACTGTACCACCGACGGTTCATCGACAAACTATCGACAGTCCACGGATATACCACCAACATAATGCCGACAGTTCACTGATATACCACCGACAAACAACCGACATACAACCGACAGTCCACCGATATACCACCGACAGTTCACCGACGTACAATCGACAGTCCACCGACAGTTCACCGACATACAACCGACAGTCCACCGATATACCACCGACAGTTCACCGACGTACAATCGACAGTCCGCCGACAGTTCACCGACATACAACCGACAGTCCACCGATATACCACCGACATTTTACCGATATACCACCGACAGTCCACCGATATACCACCGACAGTTCACCGACATGCCGCCGACAGTTTACCGATAAGTCGCCGATATGTTTTTGTGAAGAATTTTGTTCACATCTTTTTGAACATTTTGTCCCAATCGGAACGCCATAGCTTACAGCAACAAATATGTAATGACTGCTCGTGTTTTTCAGGTGAACGATGTCTTGATCATGACACCAATATGATGGCATTACGTAAAGTTAATCCGCACGCGGACTGGATTGTCAAACCACAGACTCAATATCTACACTTCTAATAACTGGTCACAACAAACTCTGTGCCTGGACTATTGTATATTTTTCCCTTATGACTTGTGCACAGAAATTACGATATAGTTGTTACGAAATGAAAACTATACTCATGTATATTTACGATGCAACAATTGCATTCTGAAATGTTGCTGGTTCAATATTGTGCTAGGAAATAGTGTTTTCATTGTTTGAAAATACTCTGGTCAATAGAGTGTATAATAGGTTGCAAATGCACATTAGATGTTACATAATTTGACGTAACTGTACCCGTCAAATACAAGTTGACAATCTCGACTTAAACAGGCTCCCGCCTACCATGAAGAAAAGAATTTGGCGAGCAAAGCGAGCAGGGCAAGGTCCTGCTCCTTTTGCTTGCTGAATTCTTTTTTTTTCGTGCTCGTCGGTTCCCTTCGCTAAGCAGATTTTTTTCCCGCCCTCGTCGATCGCCCTTGCCGGACGCCGCAGGCTAGTCCTCGATGTTTTCGAGAACTGAATTTACGGTCTCAAGTGCCCACGGAAAAGAAAATAGTTGACATCTTTACAGAAGCTAGTTTGGAGACACTCCAAGAATTTTTCAAGGAAACGATTCCCTTGTAATTTCTCAGTTTACACCCTCGCCTTAAGGCTCGTGTGTGCATTTGTGACATTCCACGTACGGTATACCACGAGGACGTGCTGCATTGTAATTTTATACCATGCTACGAAAAATATGGTGGCCAACACAATCAGTGGGACATACGCGCCTCAAAACCCGTTCAACTGAGTTTCTGAAATTTGTCAAGAAGTCGAGCTTATTCCCTCTCCGTCTGTTTTTTTATTCTCTCAGTTCTTTGTTTCTTTGTTTCCTTGAGTCGAAACACAAACAACTCGACTCGATACTCGAAGTTTTCTAGTTTCGAGGATCGATTTTAGTTGTGCGGCTTTCGAGTGACTGTCAACTGATTACATTCGACCGGTACTGAAAGTAGTCTTTGTTTGATGGGCATGCTATTGCTACTAACTTATAATGACAAGTTGGAGTGGAGTTGAATAATTTCTAATTGAAAATGGTTATTGTTGCCAGTGTAAAATTTATGGTGTAATGGAAAGTTATTTAAAGAAATTAGATTAAAAATGAATGCAATAACAACATTGATTTAATATATAGGATTTCATGCAAATATTGCTCATGCACCATAGAAAGGTTTTTCAAGTCTTCAATAAATTATTTGTTATAAGAGCAAACATTAGTTCCGCTTGAGAGTTTCCATTCCTTTGTCATAATCAAGCTTCGAGAACCTCCAATAATCCTTCTGCACCTGGAAAGTGTTCTCGCGCCAAATAAGTTCGTCTTTTTTGAGGAACAAAGTTAGTTTGAACTGATTAGTAAATTAGTATATTTTAACACTTGGGCCTATAGAGTGATCTTTGGTAACGTCGTCGTTTGCATTTTGCCTCGTAAGTATACAACTTTGAGTGGAGTAAGGCATCATATTAGATAAGAATTGACTCCAGACTGTTAATGAGCTTGTGAAAATTACTGCATGACGAAAGTGTTAGCTCTTTGGGTGTAATATTGAAGGAGATACTGGCTTTCAAAAAGTGCAAAATGTCAGGTTGGCAAAAGCGCTAGTGAGGCCATATATTCTCTGTTAAATTTTGAGCTTTTAAACCGACGAGGCAGAAAAAGTATTTAACACATCGTTCTCAGATTCTTAGGGGCAGTTAATCGGGCTACGACCTCTAAATTTTGAGAACGAATATTTTTGTAGCTAAGATCAGAAACTGAATCGATTATGCTTATTAAGTAAATATTGTAAACAAAGATTCCCTTACTTGGCAGAACAAAGGCGCGAGCGAATTGAGCCCCATGCCTTAGGAAATTTGTTAAGGTGGCCGAACTCAGTAACTGCACACGCTCAGTGCACGCAAAGGATTACAAAAAGTAACATGGCGCAGATACAGCGATCATTTCAGTTGTTCCATGCTCACGCTATCTGTGCTTTTTTTTTCCTTAAATGAAACAGTTTATTTAATGGGTTTAGTCTTACTAGTAAGGCATGTTAAAAAACCGTAACGAACCCAGCAACTCTGAGATTTGTCTTTGTTAGTAAAAGAACTAAAGTTTTAGGAAAGTCCGAGTCATAAAATACAAGCCGCCGTTCGCCGTTGTATTTGGTCGATAAATAGGGGGTCATGGTCCCAGGCATTCCAAGCGTAGAGCGTGGGAGCTGGGAATGAGAATGCGACGGCTTGCCTTTTCGGTAGTCACTTGAAGGGATAGTCGAGAAGGCCCTTCTTTCCTCTGTGACATGTGGTCACCAATCGTAACGATCGTCGAATTCAGTTGTCGGCAGAAATAACGTAAAGTTTACTTTTTCAATTCCAACAAAGCAGGAAAAAAAGAGATCTCCATATGTGGACACCGGGAGAGGAACCCGGGATACTTGTTTCAGGATGCATTCAGTTAATCACTACACCATCGAAGGTCCAGCTGAAAAGAGCCAAATTTTGTAACTATAGATACTGCAAGTCTAAGTAGGTGTAATGCAGTGTCACCCAAACCACCTCGTGCATTGACCGTTCGTTGCATACATTCGTTGATTCAAAGGGAAGCGTTCGAAGGGTCGAGATTGATTATTTTGAAGTAGTTCTTCTCCTAAGACAGCGACGAAAACACGCCATTTTGTTCGTGACGAATTTTTAACGTCCAGGCTAGCCTGCGTAGCAAGCGTTTCCGTGGGGCTGGGGAGCAAAGAAAGACCGAGGAACGGGATTTTCGATGTTTTGCCCGCGCGAAAAATGGGGCGAGAGCCAAAAAAAAAAGAACGAGGGAGGTGGGGGAGAGGCTTTGAAGGTTTGAAAATGTAAGGTGGCTCTGAACCCTATGTACAGAATTTTTTTAAACTTTGCCAAAATTTGCGTCTTGTGCTTATTAAAATTTGATAATGAAAAAAATTTCACCGTACTGTTTAAGCCCCTAAAGCTCTAAGTAAGGGTGTTTCTAGCAGGTCATGCTGTTGCCATGGTAGCCTTTTGTGTCACGAAAATGATAATGTATTCACCAATGATTGGGCAGTGTTTTGATACCATTATTGTAGCACGACCCATCAAAATCAAAAGTCAAAGTGCTGGAATTCCCTAGTAAAAGAACCCGCCATAGATTTCCGACGAAACTTGGTATGCTGTTGTTACAGGACAAGGAGATATTAAAAACGTAGTAAAAAGAGGGAGTCACCGTTCTTGTTTTCACGTCACAATGCTGACAAATACGGTTATTTAGGTGACTTGGTAATCTCCATGCGCAGCGAATAAGTTCGATAATTTTTCAATGCAGAGTGTTATAACAGCGTGTTATATTGACTTTCTTTGATTGTTTATTCATGTACGCCCCAGAAAAAATGCCTTTAAATACCCTGCATTTTTTTATCCATTAAGTGAGACATAATTTGGACATGCGGTGTTGGGCCCGTTATGTCTCCCTCTGTAGTATTCATTTTATTTGCCAAAAAAGTAGCCGTAGATTTCTGCTAATTTTTTTTTCTCAGATATTGAGGATATTGTTCTCATTGAAATTATGAAATAAAAAGTGGGGGTCACCGTGCTCGTTTAAGAGCAAAGGAGCATTTATTTCACTATCGAGCTTGGTTTGAGGGAAATCTCTTACGTTTTGTACGCGCATGCGCTCATGTGCGCGCGCTAATGACGCGAAAATCGTGCGCAGTAGGGATGCGCAGTGCAATGCTAAGGAATCACCTTAACCTCTGTATTGTCAACATTCGAGATACGTGTGACGTCTTGCAGGGATGTTTATCTTGCTCTCTGGCAATAAAAAGCTTTGGAACCGTTGCAAATCAAAGCGTTGGAATTACGTCTCACAATTCTTGCTGTAATGTATGCGTTTCGGTTCCCGCCTTCAATCATTGTGTGCGCCTCGTTTTGACGTGTGTCTCCGGGACCGCCATTTTGAATGTAGTTTTTGTAGTAATGTAATTTTTGTGGGATTATACCATATTATTGCATAATCACACATAGACATAGGTCGTGTTTAAGGTTTGAGAATTTATGAAACCCGAGAATCTCTCTCCCGATGAGAGTTAATAGTTAATGATGATAGTGAAAACTCGAGACGTAATCGGATCGTGTCATTTACAAAGCGGCAGACAAGATGATATTTGAAATGTAAACCACCTTTGCTTCTAGTCAAATCCCGTCTAAACGGCTCAAACAGACCCAGGAACACAGGTAAATGACAGTGCATTTATTTTGCATAAATGTAAATGATTATGTTATTGCTGATACAGTGTTCGGGTCTCCTGTGCTTTGGGTGAGCGAGAAGATTTTTATGAACGCAAATCGAATGGGAGCTTTAAAATTGCCTACAGGCCAAAATTTAAGCTTGTTCTTTTGTTTTGAAAGCGGTGATGCGGTGAATAAAATCCAAACTTGCAGTGTTGCGGTGATCTCAAACCCTTCGGTTTGGGAGGCAGCGTGGCCGAGTGATTAGGGTGCCGGACTTGAAATCCGGAGGTCGCGGGTTCAAGTCCCGCTCTGACCACTAAGCTGGAGTTGTTTCTCGGTAGACCCTAGTTCAACTCCGCGGTCATGCTTGTAGATAGCCAACTGGTCTGCCTCCCGCCAGTTGGGATTTTTAAGCCTATTATGTTTAATGATGTGAAGTATATATGAAGTAATTCATATTTGAACTGCGGTTGTAGATGAAAGTGAAGAATGATCATCGCAGTAAATTTTCCAATTTAAGCAATT